GAGCCCGTTAGTCCACATGGCAAATAATCAGGAATATTTTAACCATTCATCGCATGCATGCAATCCTAGAAATCCAATCGGAAAGGTCAGAAAGAAGAAACAGAGGGTTCGGGGAGAGAGAAGRAAARCTCATGTGTGGTGGGACGCGGCCAYTATTTYRTGCTCAGATCGCACGTGGCTTCAGGGGTAAGCCATAGGAGTCGTGGACTCCGGGCGGGGGTGCTCGCAATACTCCTYGGTGGTCAYAGATCAATCCACTCTTGCRTTCYCGAACAAAATCCCAACAACATTGCTCCTGCCATCAATTCGTCCTGACAAAATCTCAATCAAGGCGGGTTTCGTGCCTGTTCATTCCCATCCTCCATACATGCATTCACTGTGGAAGGTGCGAAAATGACAACCATACGATGTCCCGACATGGTTGTGTTAAGGGCAAAATTCTTAACGTTGGACACACGCGCATCCACCGTTCACAAGACAAAACCYRSTAGATCGGGGGACWACCYAGGAAACTAATGGAAAAGTTCCAGAAGAAATCATTCCAATCATACATTCATCATACCCATTCCATCACACGCCAACTTTTGACTTATTATGTAGAATCATTCACATCAAGAAAGAAGGAGAATGAGGAATGAGACAGATACAGACGGGGATATCAAGATCCGAGGGAAGAGTTAGACTGAGATAGGAAAAGGAAAAGAAGGTCCGGCTTTACCACCGTAAAATCACACCAAAGAATAGATTCGCGACCAAGAGGGCGCACTTGCCACCAAATTCCAACATGGCCCCGGGTCAGTCATCCACTCAACTCAGATCACCTGTCCGCATTCTGACACCGATGATCCCGGCCGTCGCGCGTCATCCTCCACCAATGCGATCGTCACCCCGCCAACTTAGTCTCGACGTGGCTTGCCTAGATGCCACAATCCGTCGTGGCTATCTAGCGCACCGCCAGCCAGTCTACAGTCATCTCGTCAGGACTTTCCGACTCGCACCGTACACATCACCTAGCCACTACTTCCCGGAAGCTGGCCGATGAGAGAGAGTTTTCTAGGAGCGCCGGCGGAATTTATAGCTGCGAGAAGGGAGAGAGACGCGGAGAAAGGCGAAGGGTGAGGCAGAGGAGGGTAGAGGAGAGTTTGAGAGTGACCGCCCATCGAAAGCCATGTTGATCCCTCCTAACTCGACCTCAGCCAATCAGAATCGTCGCAAAGTAAGAACTTACACGACGCTTCACCTTGGCTAGAGGGGGAGAGAGGATCGACTAGGTTTTCTAGCGCGGATCTTAGAGCGGGAAAAAAAAGAGCGCGAAGGATAGCGCGAACGGGTCCAAGATTAAGATGATCAAGAAGGAGAAAAAGGACGCGCGCTGAGAAGGGGAGGGAAAAGCAGTTATAGGGGGAGAAAGAGAGAAAGCGTGTGCGCGCGAAGAAGGGCGGTGAGAGGAGCGCGGGGAGGAAGGAGGAGGGAGCTTGCCTGCATGGCGCCGATTGACAAAAGGGGAATAGGCACCAAGACAGTTGCGGTTTTTTCCAATCCTATGCTAATTCAAAAATTGAAAGCACCATATCCGCGCGCAAAACGGGCGCGGGAAAGAAAGTCTTATGTCCATCCACATTCCTACAAGAATTTCCCAGAGTTTTCAAGGTCGAGGCGGAGAACATCCTCGCGCGGAAGGTCGCGCGGCATTTCGTTAATTCCGGGTTTTGTAACTGCCGAGCCAAATTCCAAGCACACTCGTTAAGGCGCACGAAATTCCCAAGCCTTTTCAATGAAAAAAGAGAAAAAAAAGAAACTGACAGATCCTACAAGGTACCTTTA